TCTGATTTCTTAAAGGCATTTAGACAAGCAGTGCTACACAGCCCTATGGCAAGCACATCTGACTTCATCCAATCCAACTGAAACCACTGCAACCAGCAATCTGTTATTTTCCCCTTTAATCCCAAAAGGTGACCAAGAGATAACAATGATTTCTGCAAACAGGAGCAGTCTGACTGCTAGAATTGAAATGCAAATAAATATCCTATTGCACTCCAGGGAAAACATTCTAAATGAACAACACAAATAATCTAAAGATCCTAACAAGTAATTAGGCAGAAACAATGATATCAGAAAGATCAGTCTCTTTGTAATACACTGTTTTCACTCACATGAGAAGAGTAATTGTGGTATGTGGAAATACAACACCAGAGTACAACCTCTACCCACACAATTTTACTATACAAAATTAATCTAATACATTTTCCTAATGTTGTACAGGCAGCTAATTAATTGTAGACCACATAACCATCACAAGATTAACAAAATGCTTTTATGCAGGTAGTAAACACTGCTGCTGAGAATATTACTCTATTCAGTAAACAGTGTTTGAACTTAATAACTGCAGGAAACTTCCATTTCTCTAACAAAGAGACCAGTGACCTCACTGAATAAGCAGTTCACTGTGCCTTTCATAAAAGCTCTCAATTAGGATGAGGAGCGCATTGTACAACAGATACAAGAATTGAGAATCCACTCACCTGATGGCAGCTGTGATAAATTACTGAAAACTTTGCTGCTGAAGCTGAGAAAACATAGGGTATTCATTTTAAAAAGAAAACATTTTCAAGGCATTATTTTTTTTTATTTTTGTCTGTGTGCTGTTTTAAATGTAAACCCCAAGTTATTTCAATAGGGAATAATTTAAATATATCAATATGGCCCTATGATGAAAAATAACAAATGAGTATTTGTGTACTTATTTGCAGAGGATAACACAGAGCTGTGCTTAATTGAAAGATAAGATACTGTAAAGCAGTGTGTGCATATATATAGAAGTCCACTTTAATAAATATGTAATACATTTATGAAATTATTATTGTAAAATATTACATACACAGCTTACTACATATAACACGCAATGATATGTATAAAATCGTTAATAATTTTTATACAGGTTATTAATATTTTTGCTAGTCTTATTGCGTTTCCCTTCTGCACTAGTTATTAAGATTGCTATCTATGATACCTTAAAGCCAAAACCAGCAGTTTTGATATTGATACAAAGGCAAAAACTGAAAACAGTGGTGAAAACAGGTGGTACCAAATTTATGGGGCAGAATGTTTAACTCCAACACTGCAAAACAAAAAATCAAAACAGTCACACCATGGAGAGTTTGATATCCATTGACACCAAGTAGCAATATCACTCAGCTGAGAGAGGTAATTCCAGAAACCAGGAGGGAGCTTTAGAGCCCCTGCAGCAGGAGCACATTCTCCCCTCCTCTGAGCAAACCAGTGTCACATCCAACTGCTGAGAAACCACTGCCTGCTCAAGCAGCACCAGGCTGCATAAGCAGGGCACACCAAGATCCTGATTTCTGTCTCTGGACAAAGATTCCCAGGGATTAAGTGGATCTGACTGGCTACTTGGGTGAACTTCAGCCTACTTCATGATTAAAGGAAAGCAATTTTTTAGAACACACAACCAAGTCTGGAAACATTAAGCTACAGGGACAAGAGAAACTCACAACTGGGAAATCTTAACCAGGACTTTGAAGTTGTAGCACAGATACTACACTATACTACCCTGAGGGCAAAAAAACCCCAAAAACGCAAATAATAGGATTGAAGCAAGTTCAGCTGCTTTGAGTACTTTGAACAAAGGAAAACTAAGAACTTCTGTGAGTTAAAAGCTAGCATTAGTATACCTTTTCTGTTATGTTCACTTTTCATCATTTGCATTACAGTATTGAAGTCTTTACATGCAATTTCCTTACTTATATCTTCCATTAAATTACTAGAGTTTGGTAATGGTACCAATACATTTTCTCCTCAGATCAAAGACAACCTCGCCAGCAGGAATTGTCAGCATGCTGGGACTAGCCCCACTGAAAGTTGTTGCAGCAAAAGTACCTCAGGTGTGTGTGTTAGAGGTCCTATGGTACCAAGGGCACAGCACGAGGCACACTAAGACACACAGAAACAGGACAGAAATGAGACACCTGTCTACTCAGGTGTTTTAACAAAAAAGGGGCAAGTTTGCAATGAAAATCTCAGAGCTCTTATGGAATACCTGACTAGACTTAAATGCCTGTGTTTATGAGGTGATTACCAAGTCCAAAGTGAGACATTTATACAACTTTAAAAGTATGAACCTGAAGAAAACTCATACAATCCCTTCAGAGCTTTGCCATTTATAAGTATAGCGTTATTATTACCAAAGCTCTTTAAGTCCTTCCAAGTTCTGGCATTGCCTATTGGTCTGGCATTCCATCTTGGTTATGCTGGGAACCTTGGTGTTCCTGCCCCAAATGTCAAAAGGCATTACTAAATCCCTAGGACGTATCTGGCAAGCATCCTGGCAAACCTTTGAAGTATTCTAAAAGGTGTTGGAAAACACAAGATGCGTTTCAATTGAAATACCCGTTTCCTTACTGTTTAAGTCACTTATAAATACAAAACAGGTTTTCACATGTTTTAAAGAAAAGTCTTGTGCAAGTAAAAGAGCTTTTTTCTGTGTGAAGAACTACAGCCTAAAAAACCTTTGTGTTCCATGTCCTAATTAATAAACAAATCTTCAGAAATTTCATTTTAAGCAACACTGGGCAGCAGTGTAATCTTGTATTTGAAAATGTGCATCTCCCTAAGAGTGTTAAACTTCACAGTATGCCAGTTTCGACCACAAGATGAGAAACACTCCAGCACAGAATGCACCAATATTATGTCCTATTTGTCAGAAACTGGGTTGCATGTCATAAAATTAAAATTGGAAGAAGCTAAGTAGTGGAGAACTGGTCCAGACCTTGGCTTCATGATTTATCCCAAGGATGTCATTAAGCGTGTACAGTTTCATGGTCCCACAATTTGTTTCCAAAATAGCAAAGGAGTGCTAGACAAGTGATTCAATAATCTTACCTCTGTCTTGTTCTAAGTAATAGCAAGATAAAATAATAACCACAAATCATCAATACAAACACAAATTAGTCCACATTTTATTGCAGTAAAGAAAATATACCCAATCTTAAAAGAAACAGGACACATATACAGTGTCTGACCACAAAAATCTGCATGTGCAGAGCAAGAAAATAACATATTACAAAAAATGACTTTTTGAAAAAAAAAACACCTTATTTCAAACGCTGTCTCCCTTGAAAATTCAGAATTTATTTTCACGCTTACATTTTCTACAGAGTGAAGTAATCAAAACTGACTGAATTCTGGAGGATAATGAAGCACACCTGCAGAAATAGGCAGCAGTTAAGGCTGACAGTCTCAATTGCTGTTTTAGACATGGTTGCATCAATTCTGCCAAGAACCACTTATCTTCTTTGTAGGATGTAGCACTACAACCCTGTAAAGCTCCAACAAAGGGCACTCTATGCTGACTTGCATAACCATCTTTTCACCTTTTTTGCAAATCATCTCCTTATTGCAGTGTCTTGGGTAAAGACAGTTGTTTAAGGTTGAGCTGTTGCCTGGATGTTTCCCAGAGCACACATACAACAACCTTATATACATTACTTCTGTTGATACATCTCTGAGTTCTTGTCTAAGATGAACATACTTGATTAACATCAGTGGCCTTGATCCCAAGAGACAGTAACAATCTACATCTTGTAGTTTACAGACTCTGTAAAATGCTGAGTGAACTCACATGGTCCACTTTTCCGTTACAGATTTTCACATCAAATGGCACCTGTCTCTTGTCACAGAGTTAATAACTGCCTTGAACCCAGTTTTACCCCCTGAAGTTCCTAATCTACTCGACCGTTTTTGATGTTAAGATACAAAAAGTTTTGAACAAGTCAAAACACATCTATTCACTTTTAACAATCTTTTCACTGAAGACCAAAACTTTTAAAATTTATTTTTTGGTCAGAGACTGTTACTAAATACTTCTCAGAAACACCGTGTTGATATGCCACCTAGGACACCTAGCATCTAATCTACGTCTGAAATCTGAGAAATTTGAGAAACGGGAGGACAGGTCAATGATGATCCATAGGGAAAAAGTCTACCCAGCTGCAGCCACTGCTGGGAAAGGCTCATGTGGAGCAGAGCTTGTGTTTTTACAGCTTCTTACCCTCACAGGCATGTGGTACAGTTATGTCAAGGACACTATGCAGAAAAGTAAACAGATGAAGGAATGGAGCTCTGGAGAAGGAAACGAAAGGCCCTGAGGCTTTTAGATATAAATGGGACAGAAGAATGATGGGAGACAGCAAAGGTCACCTCACCTGCTCTGGACTGGGCCAACAACTTGACCTAGCAAGGGAAGCTGGAGCGGTTCTCAAATGGCAGAGGGACTCTGTGGCCATTAGGACTGTATTCTGTGGACATGCAAGTAAGTCAGTGTTGTGGCCTTGTGTGAAGAAAAGGCTCAATTATATTTTTATCAGCAAAAAGTGTGAGGGTGAATTAAAAAAGAAATTTATCTTTTTTACTGTGAAATTACATTAATTTATTTGTACACACTAACAACACTTATTTTGGTATGTGCCTCCACAGCACAGATATCCAGAAAAACTTACTTCTGACTTTAAGAAGGATCATTCACATTCCTAAGGAGTCACAATGTCCTGCTGGCCTTTTAGCAGCATGCTTTTAGTCAAAAATTCCATAACGATCCAGCTGCTCTTTCCCACTGAGGTAAAACAAGTGTAACAATTGTGTCCATTTGCACTGACATCAAACAACCTGGCTCAAGTGGCTCTTCAAAAGGCATTACCATCACCTACCCTTATTGCTATTAAAATTAAAAAAGAGATTAAGCTTATTTTTCAAACAGTTCAGTGTAAATTAAAAGACACAGAAAAAATCACATTGTGAGAAACTGCAGTCTTCTAGAAAATTCTTTATGAACCACTCTAAACTAAAATTTTACTTCATGGAAAACTAACCAAAACAAACTCTTTCTAATTAGATACAGTCTTGAAAACTATAATATTTCTTGCAAGAAAACCAAGCACAATTTTCTAATTTAACAAAATTGGCTTCTCCTCTACTTACATGCAAGCACAATAATAGAAATAATTTCATTAATTATTAACTCTTTCCAATGAAAGAAAATTTCTGGTTTAAGACACTGCTTTCATGCAAAAATAACTACTCTCTAATATGAAATTAATTCTCTTGTCCTCAGAAATCTAGATTGGAAATTCTTCTATTCAGCTCATCCCATATTTGCAGTTTGATTCATTGTCCTAGCAAAAAAATTGGCAACTTCAAACTGTCTGGCAAAGCTGCAATTGATGGGTCCAGTTACTGACTGGCATACACTGGACCTCTATGGATTGCAAATTATTTATTGCAAGTTGAATTTCATTTTTCTAAAAGACAAAAAATCTGGAATACACGACTTAGAATTTGTATATAAAACATTCTGTATTTTTTTAAACTTCAGACTTGAAGTTACTGAACATCTAATTTAGCCCCTGTGGAGACTGGAGGGAAGAGTCGTAGCTTCACTGATTGGCAGTTTTGGAGGGGAACAAAAAGCAAAACATGAAAAACTGTGATTAGCATGCAGGATGAGAGACTCACAGAAATGGAAAAAAAATTAATCAGCACTGGAAGCAGGAGAGTTTAGCAGCATGTTTGAATTCAGAATTATTCAGTGGAGTTCAGCACTCCAAATGCTTGTATAAGAGTTGTAACAATCATCCTCTCTCACAAAATTTTCTTCATCTTTGTAATAAGGCATAGATTCAGTGTTTACTCTACAAGTAGATTCTCCTTTTCATGGTGTACACCAGAATACAGGGTGCACGCTAGTTGTACACAACCCCAAATTCAATGAAAATCTATGTTTAACTGTAGGATAGAAGGTAATTATCTTTGTGCAAAGATCATTCTGTTCAGTATGTTTTCTTAAATTTAGATGGACCACACTGTATCTATGATTTCTAAAAAGAAGATTGAGAAGTAATGGCACAAAACAGGATTCATTTTGAAAAAGAAGACAAAATATTTTAGATGTGTACTCAAGATCTACAGATCTCCAGAAACTTTCATTTGATGTTAGGACAGCAAAATGTTGTGTCATCAGATGTTACAAGACTATTTGGAAAAAAGTAAATAGCTTTCTTTTTCTCTTTGGGCTCCCCCCCATGACTGACGCAAATGCAAGCCTAGGAAAATTGAACTGCTGCTTGCCTTGCATCTATTGCTGAGAAAAAAAATACAAAAAAGAAGTGTTAAAAGACAAATACCAAGTTATGTACAGGAAGCTTTAATTAACAAAGATAAGAAGTGAAAAGACTATGAAATATTTGCAAGTTAATCCCCTGTCTCAAACTATTTTTGCACACATGTAGCTCCAAGACTGCTACAGACCTTTTCAGCCTGGCATTACACAAAGACCAAGTGTTGTACAGCATAGAATTTGTATCATTTTTTAAATTTGTCCATCTGAGAATAAATGAATAATTTTTGTTAGAGAAAAGGCAGTATCATAATTTAAGCTTCAGCATAAATTAGTATGGAAACACATTTTTGTATACTAAATACTTGTTCACTAATAAACAACATTATTGTACAACTGCTTTCTGTTCCTAGTCTGGATAATTACTGAAATGTAAGAACTACATGCAAGGAGATGCAAAAAGGCTGATTTAGGCTTCTCATTCGGAATTCCTTCAGTAAGGAAACGTCTTCCTTACAATTCCAATGCAGTGTCATGAAAATCAGGTTGTCAGCTTAAATAGGGAAAGGTACATTTCATTTACATATGTGCACTTATTCCCATACTTGAAATTAAACAGGATAACAGCATAAGAACTTTGACAAGTTTCTTTTTCTTATATACAGTCTTATCTTGACTGTGAACTCTGTTTCACTGGACCCTCCTGCTTTGAACAGAAATTGTCCCAATATGCAGAATCCTCAGGTGCGACAGGAATACCAGATGCAACTAAATCTTCAAAAGTCAATACTGTAAATTGTGGTTGGTTAGGCTCCATGGAATGGACCTAATGAAAACACATATTAGCATAACATTAATCAATAAATATCAATTTTCTTCCTGTAAAATTCTCTGTAAAATTTAAACTACACATTGCTTACTGAAGAAGAAAGAAGACAGTCTATATTTGAGACTAATGTCACTTCCCCTTCATTTAGGCTATGCAGTAACTATCAGAAGCATGTAACAGGCCACACAGAAAAATCAAGCTTTTTGTTGAAACACAGTTCACAAAACTGATGGAATAAAGGTTACAGAATGCTGCAAGTATGACATAATGACTGTTTAAGTCCAGTAAAGAAGAGGAAGACTACCATCAAACAAATTGTACTTCATTCTTCAGCAGATATGATTATTTGAGACAATTGTACGAGGATTTATTCCACTAGGTGTGCCTGTTTGTACTAATTTTTATACCAGTAGTCAATGATGTTTTGCATGCTTCTCTCAGACTCAAGTGCTACTTAAACAGTAAAGTGGTCGCAATCAACCCTCAATTCCCCATGTTAAAACCAATTAAATGTGGACTGAGAGATGATGGTGTCACACTCTCCATGTTTGGTTCATCACTCCAATTAAAAAATAAAAAAATCACATTTCAAAGAAGAAAAAGATTTGGGTTTTTTTTTTTTTTTTAGCACACTACTGTGCAGCCTGCTGTATGCCATCTCCAAATGTAATTGTTTGCAGACACCAGGGCAGATAGTACAGCCTGCATGAATCAAACATAAACATAGCTGATTCTTCTAAATGGGTATTTGCTGGAGCGACCTATTCTTAATGTTTAATATTTCATAAAATTCTGTAGGGCTCCTCTGCAGTGGTGTTACTCAGTACATCAGACAAACTGACTCATTTTTGATGAGCCTGTCAGGGTCTCTCTGTGTGGCACTACAGCCCTCTGGTGCGTCAGCCACTCCTCCCAGTTTGGTGTCACAGCAAACCTGCTGAGGGTGCACTGCACCATCATCCAGTTCATTAAAGATCTTACACAGGACTGGACCAGTACTGATCACTGGTAACTGGCCTCCAACCAGACTTTGTACCTTTGTCACCACACCCTGGGCCCAAATGTTCAGCCAGTTCCCAGTACACCCCACTGTTTGCTTACCCAGCTCTCAGCATTTTTCTAGGAGGATCTTATGAGAGACAGTGCCAGAGACAGAAGGTAGTGAAATACAGGTAGACAATTAACCACTGCTCTAACCTCATCTACCAGGCCAGTCATTTCATGGCAGAAATGTACCAAATTGGTTGAGCATGATTTTCTCTTGGCAAAGGTAGGCTGACTAGTCCTGATGATTTCTTTGGCCTTGCTGCACCTGGAAATGGTGTTCAGGACTGGTGTTCAGCACTAGCTGTTCTACCACCTTTCCAACAATCACAGTGAAGCTGTCAGACCTGTAATTGCCTGGGTCCTCCTTCCTCCATGTTTTCCTCTAGTCTTCGGGCACTTCTCTCAGACGCATGATCAACCAAAGATTATTGAGAGGAGCCTTACAATGCCATCTGCATCCCATAAATATTACTGACTTACACCCATCCAGTTTCCTCAAGCATTCCCTGACCTAATCCTTTTCCTCCAAGGGTGCATCTTCCTTGCTCCTTCCTCTTCCATCCCTGCAACCTGGGATTCCTGATGTCCAGCCTTGCTAATAAATACTGATGCAAAGGTGGCATTCAGCACCTCTGCCTCTTTCAACATTTGTCTTGTTGAGTAAAACCCTTTCCCCTTGGCTTCTTTGCACTAGAGAAGTGCTTCTTGTTGCTCTGAACATCCCTGGTTAGATAAAATTCTATTTGGGCTTTAGCTTTTTAAACTTCATCCCTGGATGCTCAGATAATATTTCTGTTTTCTTCTCATGTTACCCATCCTTGCTCCCACCCTCTGTATGCTTTCCTTTCTATGTCCACATTTGGCCAGGAGCTCCCTGTTAATCCATGCAGACCTCCTGGCCTTTTTGCCTGACTTCATATGCAGTGAGATGGAACTCTCTTGAGAGTGGAGGAGATGATCTTTGAATGTTAAGCAGCTTTCTTGGGCTCAGCTTTCCTCTGATGCCTTATCCCACAGGACCTGTCTTTGTCATTCGAGGAGGAGAAAGTTTGCTCTCATGTTAAAGATTGTCATCCTCACTGCCCTAGGATCCTGAACTCCACCATCTCGTACTGTTGGAATCCTGCAGCCACAGACAGATCTGTGACTCATCATGTTTATTCCTCATCCTGAGTGCACTGATGTACAGGCACTTCAGAGGCACTCCAGCACGTTGAGTTTCAGGAGAAGATTTGGGGAACTTGTTCAGAACTGTGACTTGTAGACCCTTCCTTACTTACATCCAAGTGCTGGAGGTGACTCAGTCCAAGGTCAATTTTGAGAAGTTTGTTATCCCTTTCCGTCACATTGGTGAAGGTAGGTCAGTAAACAGGCAAAAAGCAAAAATTCTCCACTTCAGTATTTGAGCAATAGGCTACTATTAAGAATAAATAATGTGGAGAACAACAAAATGGTTTGTGCTTGTTGTAACAACACAGAAGAACTCTTAGCTGTCAAGCAAAAAGCAAAAAAGATTGAGCTGCCTCTCACTTTACATCCCTTGCACAAGTGACATGGTTGTGAGACATTTCTGCTCATCTGACATTTTGGTAAAGCTGCAGGAATGGTGCCTAGAGCCATGCAAGTGACATTACAGATGAATACCAAATATGAACCAAGCCTCTGAGCTAAGCAGTTGTTAACAGATGTAGTGTGAAATTCAGCACATGCTTGACTGAAGGAAGCGTGTCCTGACTGAATGCATCACAACTCTTGTGAAGTACAGCAAGCAATAGACAGAAGACACCTTATATCCTACACAGGATTTATAAAGAATTTTAAATGCAGCCATCTTTTATTGAGACTAGTCTCAGATAAATGTCCAGATCTAGGTTAAGAGCACAGATAAACATTCTGTTTCCTCAAGCATTTAGCAGTCACTAGCATTTTAATAAAACTGTTGACACCAGAGATTTTTAATTACAGTACATTGACATAACAATTGGTCTTTCCTGGGAACTGTAGGTATATGCCATCATTTTGTGAAGAAAGCTGAAAATAGATGTTCTTCAAGCAGGCCATAATGAATTACTCTTGCAATTGTAGAGAGGGAACAGACACAAACACTGACATCCTAAAACAACTGGGTAACATTTATACACACGTTAAGCTAGAATGAACAACTTTTTCTTTCAACACACCTAGCAATAAATAGAATAATTTTTACGGTTCTTCTAAAAAGAGAGAAGGCAATGTTCATTTTCTCCATGTTCCTGTTAGAAGGAGGCCTAAAAGGGCACAATGCAACAGTACATAAATTTTCACTTAATTTCCTTACTGAAGAGTCTCAGAATGCTCTCTTGCTCTGCTTAAAGTGACCTTTCTTCATTGAACTGAAATAATGAAATTTAGGCCATCAAAAATTTAGTCAGTGGACAAGGAAGCCTTTGAGACTCTTGATTCAAAGACGTTTCATCATAACCTTTGATATCATGACTATTTTTTCTATGGTACGTTTATGGTAAGTAACCATGATGGTGAAGTACTTAACACTTAAAAATCCTGGATTCTTGTAGAATGCTTAGGTAATTGTCTTTCGAAATAACAGCCACCTTATTTTAACCTCAGACTAAGAATTATCAGTATTCCTGTCAGAAAGATAATGTGCAACCCACCAGGAACTTAAGTATGTCCTGCCAAAAAAAATGAACATAATTTCTTAAAAAAAATTTGCCCACTGATTTATCAGAGTAAATCCTCAAAGGGAGTTAAATACCTCTTTTTCTCAATCTAACCAATACTAGTTAAAAGGTCTGCATCCCTTTGTTATCCACATAGACTTTGTGGATAACAAATCCATGATAGACAGTGTGCATTACCACTTCCCTGCTTTTATTCATTCCTATACTAATTTTCTTTTTTTTTTTTTTTCCTAGTTCCTGGTAGAATCTTTGTATCTAAACAACAGAAAACAACTAACCAATTTTCTTGTGAGCAACTACAACACCAGAATAAAATCTGGCAATTTGTCACACTCTCATTTGCTGACTGTCTGGCTCTTTTGGCTACAACTTGCCAATCTGCCTGTCCCTTAAATTTGACTTTTATTGCTATTTTCATGACTGAGGTATGTTTTAAATTACACAGAAAATCATGAAAATCTTTTAAGTAGTTTTTCTCTTTCTCTCTACAGAGACACCACATGGAATGAAGACTAACACTGCTGCTCTTCCCATCTGTTGGTTGTTGCTGCTTGTCTCAAGGGTTATCTTGTCAAAATGGTGTTTGAGCAATGGATCTGCTCTGGGATACACACACCAACAGTCCCCCCCTATAATCAACTTGGTGAGATGTCACACAAGTTTAGCAGTCCAGATTGGTTCCCTGTTTTCCTTTCCCTCTGTGAAAACCATCTTTCCCACATGAGTATTAGCAGGCTGTGACAAAAATCACTTAATCTTCTCTTGAATGAACACATGAAATACATGCATTACAGACTTGATATAATCAGTTGCTGTCCTCTGAAACTATTTCTCCTTCCCAGACCTGAAATAGGCACAACAGAACTAGAGGAAACACTTCAGTAACACTGCTTGGTTCTGGTTAATACCATGCCTAAGATAAGCCTTCTTGGCCCTGTATATGAGATGACACACTTTAAGCTACAGCTTAAGTTTATATTCAAGTGATCACCAAGAGATGACACTACTTCACAATTCCTTACATTAGAATCCTTCTGTACAAATCCCTCCTGTTTCCCAAGCGCCACTGCAACATGATGATTGTCATCCAAGCGGGTTTCCTAGTGAAGATGAAAAATGGCCATGTAAATACATTTTCTTTATTCTGTTTCCAGAGTATAGACTATATAAGTATTTACAGTATGGTTCAGAACAATACCACAAGATCATTTAAAATACTTTAAAATAATGACATTCAAAAAGCAATAGTACTTTTCAGCAGCTTTGTAGGAGAGCTCAACAATGCAGATACATTAAAATGTTCACAGGGCTGAGGACAGATTACTATGGGTTACCACCACCTTATCCATTTGTAGATATTTGCATTCAAGTGTGTGATCTAAGCATTCCTTTACACAGTCCCTTCTAAGCTCAAAATCATATAACCCATCTTAGCTATCCTTTTCCAGAGATGAACTGTGAACCTCAAGAAGGTATTCCGAAAAACAGTGATGTCTGTGTAAACTTAAACCAATTACTCTCTCCCTCTTGGCTTCAGACAGCATGTAAGAGCACAACTTTGAATTCCTGACATAGTCTGAGTCCTGCTATGTGTAAATATGAATCAACATTTTTACATGTAAAACTATATATTTAGTAATATAGTGTTTTACCTATTTAATAGTTTGGTTTGAAAGTGTTTTCTTCTAGAAAGACTAAAAAATTATCCTAAACCATTTCAGGAAACAGAACCCCACAGGCATTTACTGTTTCTGAATAACACTTATTCCATAGCCAAGCCATAATTCCATTGACTTTTAAAAATATATATATATCTAAGGGGATGAAATAAAATTTTCCCTGCTGATTTATTCTGAAGTTTTCATGTAATTTCTAAACTAGAAATCAAGAATAACAAGAATTTTTCCTAGGAAGGTGATCCAATATTGCCATTAATTTGAAAATTAGAAAGTCATTGGGATTTTCTCCTGGGACTTAAGACTGAATCTCCAATTTTGACTTCCTTGGGAAATATTCTAACTGCACTATACTATTAATATAAAGAAAGCACCCTGATTTCCTCCTATTTCCTCTGACAGGTTGTTGGTTGCCTCATTTTTCTCCCCTTTTAATCTAAGCAAAATGTCTTTTAGAACAATGGTGTCAGTGTGCATCGGGCTTTTCTACAGTTCATCTACTATACAGAATTTTCAAAGGCTTCAGTTGCCAGGATACCATTTCTGTCATTCCAAAACAGCCCTATTTAGACATATATATATATATATATATATAAATATAAATATAAATATTTTATTTTTTTTTAAGAAAAGCCAAGCTGCTCAGCTCAAACCTACTCAGCCCAGCTCAGCCAAGGCAGCAGCTGCTCCAGTCATGTGCAGCACCAGTGGGATGTGTCCGGCAAACGTGGAGCCTTAGCTGAGAGGTGCTGGTCTATGGTTTTACTTCAATTTCTTCAGCACCAAAACTGTGCCCATTTGACAGCTTTAGCAGTGAAGTTTAGAACTCTCACCTACTTAAAAAAAACCCAAAAACAAACCATCAAGCTTGTGTTGTCATACCTTTCTGCAAAGTGCTAGTAAGAAAATGAATATTTCAATTCTGTCTAGATTAAGAAAAAATACTTAATATAAGAAAAACTAATAAACCTACAGAATAAGCAGTACTTTATATGACTGCAAGAGCTATAAATGTACTTCCTATGGGGTATTTTACTGGGTTTTCCACTACTTTACTAGGATACAAAACTGAAAGTCAAGCATAAAGAATGCTATCTCAGAGGTAACCACATGTAGTCAGTGTGCACATTTCCATAACTTCCTCAAAAATAAGAAAGACTATGAACACTAGGTGCTTGATCAGGTGTTGCTAAACCACTTCTGTAGTTCTGGGGTGGCAGTGTTTTGTGTTCTTCTAGATAAAAAAATTACTATCCCTGTTTAATTACTTTGCTTTCCACTCTTCTTTCTTTTTTTTTTTTTTGCATGTCCAAGAGGTCAAGGACAGATCGGAACAGAGAGCACAGTACAGCACATTCAGCAGTGGCTTACACCTGTAATCAGAAGCCTACAAACAGCTTTAAGCACAGAATTTTCTTTTTGTGAGGTCAACTTATATTACTTCTTGTTTGTTCAACTAAAAACACATTACAGATACTATTTCACATATTGTTAGGAAAATCAGGGTTTTTTTACATTCAAAGCTGCATTTAACAGGCAGTGATTGTTTAGACAGACCTTCCCTGCAGAGACCCTGCCCAATGAACAGTAAATGAAAAAAGTTCCATTTCATTTATTTCATTTATCCTCTGTGGTCACAAGAGAGTTTTCAGCATCTTACAATAAAATATAAACTATGTCCTTCATCTATCTTTGCTGTTTCAGAGCAATGTAAATCCAAATGAAATACAGAAAGGAACATCTTTCCTGGCCTTTACTAGTGGCCAGCAAAAACCGTAAGCAATGGAATTAATGAAACATACTGAAACTATAAAAAACAGTGGATCAGCTTGTTTCCCTGGAGACATTGCTATACCAGCTTATAAAATTAGTATCTTAAATGGAAATAGATGATTAACAAAAAGAGGACAATCCTATAGAATTCCTTCAGGGTAGGGAGACTGTTCTATTAAGATTCCTCTCTATAAACCAGAAGTCATATAATGGACCAAAATTTGTTTTTGTCTGCACAGAACAAAAGTGTTACTAGAGCACACAGAGATTTACAATGATCTCATTTCAAAGACTCGGCAGAACGATGTGTCTGGAATTCAAATCATTGTGAATTCACTCAACAACAGACAGCTCATGATGAATCTGTATCTTCCCAGCTAGCAGAACTGATTGATGAGTGAATCCAGTTGGATTAGCTAGTCTTAGAAATGAAAGTTTCTATTCTTATTTATTCCTGACAATGCAACAGGATTAACTTCTCTTATTGAGGGTGAAAGATGCCAACTACAGTTGCACACCAACAATTACTAAATATTTTTCAAATTGACCCAGGTAATCTCTCTTTTGAAATTCATGTTCTGGAAGTAATTTATTTGCATATAAATAAATCAAGAAAATATTTGTTGTGAAAAAATGCAAAAAGTTATCTGTGCAACAGCAGTCCTGCCAGGTGATTCTTAATCCCAGAGCAAAGTTTAGGATAAATCATGTGCTTCCTGTATAAAATAATTGTATCCGAAGTTGAAATAGGCACAAAAACAAGTGTGTTATGTCTCATTTAAGATTCTTCTTTAATATCGATTCCAGTAAGTACTATCCAGTTATTCTTCCTGATCCATTGTACACAACTGGGACTAATAAGGGAAGGGTCACAAATACATTTAACATTTTGCAAATCACTAACTACGAATTTATTTTTCATAATCTCATAGAATGGCTTACATTGGAAGGGACCCCAAAGATCATATCGTTCCAACACCCCTGCCTTGGATAGGGACACCTTCCATTACACTAGGTTGCTCAGGGCCCCATCCAATCTAGCCTTAGACACTTCCAGGAATGGGACATCCACAACTTCTCTGGGAAACCTTTTCCTGTGCCAATATACTTTTCCATACATAAGATCTGCTACAAATCTGTCTATCTTATAAACTTACATTGATCTCTTTAAATGATGGAGCTTTTCATAACTGTTTTCAATAAACTTCTTCCGTTTTTACTAGAATTAACTACTAATTCCTTCTTGTCATCATAGTAGGCAGTTCATACCACACAGCAGGGCACTATGAGAAACTGGAGTCCTTGACTTTGTTCCAATGTGTTAACAGCACTATTCTCATCCTGAATTCAAAACACAGCAGTATGCCAGCTACTAAGAAGAAAATTAACTGTACCAGAGATGAAACTACAACAATTTTCCAAGTCTATTTTCTTCAAAGGAAGTAAACGGAGCATATAGAATAACCCATAATAATCATCATCATCATCATCATAATGACTCCATCCTAAATCAACACCCTGACAAAATACTCTTATCACTCTTCACTGGCCTAGCTGTCCTTTAGTTATTGCCAAACAAAGTCACCTTTTTAAAATGAGGAAAGTATGTACTGTCTACATGAATAAAGCATATTCAACATATACAGCAGACATATCTTAAAATTAAATTGATGCTTTTAAACAAAGCTTTTTTTCCTCCAACTCCTTCCAAAAGAGCTGAAGGGAATCTGCGTAGCACTCTCTAGAGTAATATAAAAAACAAGACCCTAAATCACGACCAAACAAGAAGAGCCTGTTTCTGATCAACTGCCTTCCACTCAAGCCAAAAAATGTGGGGTGTGAATGAGGGCAAAGATATCCTGAGCAAAACTAAACCCTTGGTAAAAGGACAACACACAGTCAACCACATAACATAGTAGTTAATTTGGTATTTACAATGATATAAGACAAACCTTTTTTTCACTGTTCATAGAAAAATCTATCTCCAATTTGAATTGGCTTTGCTCCGACTGTGAACAGTTATGGGGTGTCTAAAAAGTGTCAACTTTGATTTGTTCTGATTCATTAGTATTTCTCTTGACCTTTTAGTCATGACAAGTGTAAGGTGGAGGATCTTTTCCTGGTCTTTATGAATTTAAAGTTGTCTTTTTCATATTACATGGTACTTTCTGAAGAACATTTCAGAATATTTTGTGCAATTTAAATGGATAAAATCCCCTCTATGTCTCCCTTCCATTTTTAGTAAATTAGCTTCTCTTTAAAACTGAAATGAATAAATCAAAAATATGTGATAATTGAATTTTAAACAGTCTTGCTCTCTTTGATCATTTCCTGTCACTAAGATATAGGCAGTTCTGAATGTAAAAGTGAGGTCAATATTTTTTTTTTATTTGATAGAAAAAGCTCCCTAAAGTAAAATTGGCACAACAGGGAACCTAAGGAAAAGACTGTATCAGTAATATGTAGTTTTACAAGTGACTCTTTCAGATTTCTCCAAATTAGTGTTTTCAACTAAAAAGTTATTTCAAAAATCTGATGATACAAAAAACCCCCAAACTTTTCTAAGTAAGAAAATGGACACAAAATTTAAAAAAACTTGTGAAGTGACAAAAGAGTAAAGCAACGCTTAATTTTTGGCTCTCTGGAGATTGGGAACTACAAACATTTTATTTATTTAATTTTAGTGAATGTTGATATTTAAAAGAAATTATATCCCAACTGAGCTTGTATTTAAAGGAAACTTGATATTAAGCCCTTTCTTTGAAATACAGGAATCTGCCTCATTATAATGCTGCACTCTTGGGAAGCAGGTTGGCATGCGTGGAAGTGGAGACATTCCTCAGACAAAAACTGCACGAATGTTCTAACAGTAATTACTAAGTAATATGGAAAATCCAAACAATTAGTATTACAATAAGTATTACAGGGAGCAATCTGCATCATCATCTTCAGGCTATTTCTGTCAATCAACCACAGGCACTTCAAAGTCCAAAATTAGGAGCTCTAGAATTCAGTGGAGACAGGCAGTTGTTCCCTTGGCCATGGGGCACTGCAGCAACACAGAAAGCATTCTGGCACAAGAGGTATCACAGGCCTTCCCAATAACTTCCTTTGCCAGTGTAATTCCAACTAGTGAATTTCATGACATGCTAATATTGCTATACTATAGAGGAATTGAGTAAGAGGACTGATTTAGTATGCATAGACTTGTAACACAAAACCAAAAATTGACAGGAATGCTGAATGAAGGAATGAACTGTGAGGAAAGAAACTCATACTCTGAAATTAAACATTACTGGAACATTCATGCTTTCAGACCACATGCACAGCGTATGTGTAGTTTGTATACTAAAGAAAATAAATATACAGCAGAAATTTGTCATTTAGACAGTTCTATTGGAACAGCCATCTCCAACAACACAGGTATTTTCAAAATGCAAATATGTATTTGAAACTGAATAATCTTACTGAAAAGTGCAATTGACAGTTTGTTCCATTTTTTGCCTTTTTTAAAGGGGTTAAACAAACATGCCTCTGGGATGTAGAGATATGGGGTTGTCATTTATTTTGTTTTTAAAGCTTGTTTTTTAGGTAATTAAATAATTTGAGATCATTATGAATCAGAATCATCTCAGCTGGAAAACACCTTCAACACCAGCAAGTCCAACTGTTAATCCAGCGCTGCCAGGTCCATCAGAAAACATGTCCCTATCAGTTTTTCCCCTACGTATCCTTTAAGCTACATGAGATGACACTGATAATTTCTTACCAAATCTGAAAGGATAGATATTTTAGTGATAAGCCCCAATAACTCTGAAGAAGGAAAACAAAAGCCTAAACTCCAAGATTCAGACTACGGAGACCAAAAATTCTAGACCAACTGATGAAGAACTTTAAAATCTTAGACCTGTTCAAGAAATCAGGCCTGAATATATTTCTGTGAATCTCTTGCATAGGAATGTCGTTCCCAGAGTGCAGGAAATATATTCCAGGCACAGGAAAAAAACAAAAAGACATTATAACTAATCCTTCTATGGGGTGTCTTTGCAATCTTAAAAAAATATTTAAAATGCTGCAGATTTATATTCTAAGTTTTGATAATATAAGCTCAATGGGGTTCTACAGAGGAAAGATGCAACGTTGCTATTAAAAAAAATCAGACATGTAATGCAATGATAAGGAGTTGAGACTTCTTATCACTTGTGAAAACATTTCCTTTACCTCAAATGTCCACTCCTCTTCTTTTTCTCCATCCAGAAGCATTTTTGTCTCCTTATACACCTTCCCTATTTCCAGTTGCAATGGAGACACATTAAATTCAATTCTTTGCAAGTTAAAGCCAATTCCAACTCCAATGGCTTTTAAGAAGCTTTCTTTTAAGGCCTAAAAGACACAAAAATGTATTTTATTTATACTGGCTACAAACTGTTTTTTAAACTGCTATTTACTGCTCTATAAACATTACTTCTGAGCATATATTGCAGATAAAATAAATTTAAGACTTACACTACTGTAAATGTGAGGGTAGACTGATGAAATTATCAAGAGAAAAAGTTATCAGCATAGTTTATACCCAGCCTAACCTGCTACAATAAAATAAATATGCAACTGAAATTACTCAGTGGCACATACAGATATGAATGCTTTACCTTGTTCTGGCTTTGTGTTTAAAATTACTAATAAATACCATTGGAAATGTCAGCTATACCATGGTTCTCACAGTTATTCTGATATTAAAATAATCAATGAAATATAAAGTCCAAGAATATCTTCACACGAAATGGTATCAGGAAGCACCAGGGGAGTTTATATTGGATAAAGGGAGAAACTTTTTTATCAAATGGTTTTTCAAGCATTGGAACAATCTGCCCAGGGAAGTGGTTGAGTCACCCTGAAATTCTTTAAAATATAGATAAATGTGATGCTTAGGAACATAGTTTGGTGGTGGATTTGATGATCTTAGATGTCTTTTCCAACATAAACCATTCTATGATTCTAGGCAAATACAAAAAGATTACATTTTTACTACAATGAAAACAAAAAATTATATCAGAAAAGAATGTGAACATTTGCAGACTTTAAATAGGAAAAGAAGTATTACCCAGTGCCGATAAAACATATCCAGCTGCATCCATTCATTACTCATTGACTTGATTACATCCCACTCTGTTTCAGTAAACTGTCGCTTCATTATGTGAAAGAAATTTGGAATTGAGCTACTACCTATAATCAGACAGAGATATTTACAGAAATTTTAACAGAGCAGTAATAATAAGCAAATTAATTACCTCACATTATTGCTCTAGAAAAAACTCGCAAGAAAAAAAAATTATGAACCAACTCTGCTCCACAATTTGAATTTATACAGCCTCACAGCAGTGAGCTGATGGTGGTTCAGGATGCAGCATTTCCAGCATTCTCTAAAAGGCAAAGTATTTAACCAATGATAATTTTATATAAACATAAAAAATTTATATTCAACTACAAAAGCAGGATATACAGTCTCTGGCATCTGACAGCTTGATCTAGTAACATTTTATAAAATAGCATGCTGTTTGTCAAAATTTACCAAGCTATTCTGCCTCCCACCACTGATACAGAAGATACACAAGAAACTTTTTTAAGCGCTTGTAGAAGCACAGTCTTCTGAATTTACACATACATATTAAGCTATTTGGATTGGATTTATTCTGAAAGAAAAATGTGGGTAGAGAGGTGCCCATAATAACAGTAAGAAATATACCAACACAAAAAAATCCTCCAAAAAACCCAGCCTCAAACTACCAAACATTCAAATCCTTATATTACATTTAAGCTTCCTCTAAAAATAATCACAGCTGTGTGGTACTGCAGCAGCTCTTTGGGGGCTACACCACTTTTCCCCACTAGTCTAAATTTATCTTACAGAAGACACTGCAGTGTATGGTTATATGGATCAATGGCATTTCTATGGTACGTTGAAATCTATGGACCTTGTTACAAGCTTGGCTACCCACAGCCTATGTCAATCAGTATCCCATGCAAGCATCCAAGTCCAACTGGGCTTACAGGTGGCTAAAGGGACAATGGCAGAAAACAATGTCTTTTCTCTAGTAGGGATAAAAAAATCTAGATAGAGACAATTCCACATATTGAGACAATTTCTTTGATAGGTTACTCAATGGTCTTACTAAAAATATAATATTAGTCATATTTAATCCAAAACACTTTCCCCCTCCCAATACCATGCTCCTTTGAAGAACCCAGTCACTAAATAATTGCTTAAGATGCAGATTCTAACTGTAGTTGTGCCAGTAATTCTTTGAGATGACTGGGCAAGGAACTTTCCTTTTCTATGCTCACATTCCCCATCCTAAACCAAGGGTAAAGGCATCAAGCCTCCTCTATAAAGTGGTTATCTTATACAGGTATCTAAGCAGTAAATAAAACCAGGAAGCAGTAATAACTGATCTGGACAAACCAATGTTACACTAAAGCACATATTGAGGTTTTCTCACAATTTCCAAACCATACTGCAAAGTGTTATCTGACATACACATCCCACAAGACATGGCAGTGACTCTTCAGAGATGCTCTCAATTGCATTTTAAAGTGAACACCTTTAAGAGAGAATCTTTTTGACAACTGCAGCACTTGGCTAATGGAATGATCCAGAACAGTCTAAGGACAGGACTAACTTCCTTCTGGAGAAAATAACAGTAGAAGAAAAAAGCAACCACAGTGTTAAGTATGCCTTGATGAATTAGCGAGGCAAATTCCATATCCATCTACTTACACAATCCAACTTTCATGAAAAAAAAAAGAAAAAAAAAAAGAAAAAAAATTGTTAAACTTGGAGAAAAGTATTTTCTTTCAGCTCTGTGTTTGTATGGCCCACTTTACAATCAAATAACTACAAATAACTACATTAATACCTGCTCTAAACAATCCCCTTTTTTTCCCACTTCTCTCTTTTCTCGAGTATTTAAGACAACAGTGGTGAGGCTCCAGCCTGCTCTTGTAATTCAAACTACAAAACATTCCAGAATGTCCTGGTGTACCCTTCCTTCTCTATTACTTTCAGAGTTCTCCTCCTTTCAATAACCCAGGACTACCAGAGAAAACCACCCAAGACTATTCACACAACACTACCTTCAGCATGTAGAGGTACATAAAGGCTCCTGCTTTGTCAGTGCTGCATGTGGTGAATACACTTCATGCTTAAACCATTTAGTACACGAAGTGCATACCAAACCCATATGCTACTGCTTTCTTCCTCATTGTTCACCGTTTTCTTGTCCTAGGTTTCTTCAGCTGTTCAGCTACCCTTCTCAACACTCAAGTTCAAATTCACACAGCACTTTCCCCTCCACTCCCACCGTCTGTCACGTTCCTCCTTTGAAAAGCTCGGGCACCACTTTGTCCTTACGTGCACTCACTCCCTCTCTCCTTAAGGCAGCACAGTTGCTTTGCTCTGAGGAATGGATCAGAGGACTCAGGATTCCAATTCTTCACAAGTTACGTGCAGTACCACAGCTTGCCTAGTCCATTTCCCCATATTTGCTTCAGTATCAGAGACAGATTCACAGCACAATGGGGAAAATGTAGGTTGAAAAGGACCTTTGGAGACCACTTGGTCTAACCTTCTGGTGAAAAACAGAGCCTTATGTTGGGTTACCCAGGGCTCTGTCAAGCAGAGTGTTTCACCCCTTCTCTGGGGAACCTAGTCCACTATTCTACTATTCTCATGGTGCAGACCTGTTCTACAGAGACAGAACTCCCCCTGAAGCAACCTGAGCCTGCTGCCTTTTGCCATGTTCCAGTGCGCCCTTATGAAGACAACTATGTACATCCTCTCTGCAGCTACATTTCAGGGAGGCTGTGATTAGATTCCCCTCTTCAGAACCTTCACCTCTTCAGGTTCAACAAACCCAGCTCCATCAGCATTTCTATATCAATCAAGTTCCCCAACCCTCTAAACACTTTGGTGGCCCTTTGCTAAACCCCTTTCAATGTCTCATAACACAGGAGATATGAAGGGGACAAAACTAGAAGCAGCAGAAAGTTTCTGTTTAAATGGTATGTTTTTTGCTTTAGTTTGATTTTAAAAAAACAGCCTCAAGTTCTGGCCAACTACTTGCCACAATTTATAAAAAACTTCCTTTGAAAGAACTGGAACAAATCCATATAGCAATTAATTATTTGGTTTTAAATTTGCATTTCTAAAGTAGCTTCCCCTTGTCAACTTATTTCAGAAATAAACAGACTTCTTAAGTAAGTACTTCTTACTTGTCAGGAAATGGAGTTCTTCAAAATAACAAACTAAGTCCTTTTAATGCTGAGCATTAATTATATTGCCCTCTCTGATTTTAAAATACATGCCTTGTTAATAAACTTTTAAGTACAGTAGCTCCTTAAGAATATAGACTGACTAATCTTTCAAAAATTGCATTCTAGTCATTAAAAATAAGATCTAAATCTAAAGTTAAGTTTCTTCATTAAATTAGAAGCACATAGGACCCTGGAAATTTCAGGAAGTGTGAGTGATACTGGAAAAAATACTCCAATATTAAGCCTGGAAAGTAAACACACTATATGCAGGTAAGTGTCTGTGCTCATATGTGTGCCTCTGTCTCTGTGTTTTGTATTTTTTGCATGAGCTATTTACATTAATACATAATGCCATGTTTTCCACTGCAATGACAACTTGGTTTTTGTTAAAATTTTTTGAAGACTAGGAAAAAAATATGCTTTGCATTTTTACTGTGGAACAGTAATGTCACAGACCAGATATAAAAGACTGATTTTAAAAGGAGGCAGGAGTGAAAAATAAGAAAACAGACTATATTCTCTAGTCCTGTTTGCAAATGCACTACAGAAATAGTACATAAATACACCGTAGTTTCCCCCATTTTTCTGCCTGCTAAAGAATCCCAACAAGCTGCATTTGTAGGAAGATGAAGGCAATCAGAATTAAGATCCATGTAAACTCTGATGCTATTAATAGTGAAAATTAAAACTTGTAAGGCTAATACAGAATTTTTTTACATTTTTACAAACATCAGGTTAATCACAAGTCAGCTTTGGTAACACAATGTATACTTCACAAAGGCAGGGTACAAACTTATACCAAAAAGTATTAAAACCATGCCATGCATTCTCAAAAACAATGAGAAGAGTAGATGATCGACCATCTCCACTTTTATGAGTTTACAGTCTTCAACTTGGTTTGGTCACATACAAACAAACTAGCTTATACAGCTACTACTGCCAGCTCATTGATCAACTAATCTCCTGAAAAACACAACAAACAAACAAAACCAAACCCAAAAAACACTCAAAACAAAAATACGAAACAAATCCCAGAATGCAAACAGCCTCTTCACCAACTTGAACTGCATAAAAGAAACAGGTCAGTGATTAAGAACCAATTAGCTAATCAATACAATCACTTCACTCTCAGATGGAAAACAGGTAAAGTGGCAGTGTGACATCTTACACACAGCAAAACAAACAACTGAAGCGTGAACAGCTCAATCTGCCTAATAGTGTGAAACACAAGACAGCTATGGAGCTTCTAGACTAACCAACTGTAGTGGATGAATGTTTCAAGTCCTGGATGCTTAGGCTGACAATCCTTTTGGTGTAGGACCATATTTGATCACATTTTACTGTCTCTAAAGGAAACCAAACTGACCTGATACAGAGAAAACATGTCTGCTGCAACAGATGCCCAAGCCCTAATTGTTTATTAATACCAACTTACCCTGGTACAGACGTTTAGAAACAACACAAGGCAAATAATTAGCGAGATAAATGAGTAAATTACAAGAACCAGATAGAACATTAACAATGCATGTTTTCTCAATCTACTAGCTCACACAGCTTTCGTGTGAATTGGAAATTGGATTTACATTCTCTGACCTCCACACTTCCTGTCAGTTTCCCGCAATTCTCCCAATTACATGTATGTTAAACATCTATTCTTGTTCTGTTAATGTTGATGGGTTTTATCTTGGCATACTCCAGAGAAGCACTAACTCTAAAATGCCTGAAAATTTGACATTGCCTCTTACCAATTACTCAACATTTTGCAGATTATAAAATGTTAATCTGGAAAATTCAGTCATAAAGATACTGAAATAATTTGATAATGTTTGATATTTTCTCTGCAGATACCATCATTAAGTCTCTGCAATATTAGAGAAACTGCTAAGGTTTCAGCTGCATTAATGTGGTTTGGT